CCTAGCTATATGTGCGCCAGGCGCGTCGCAGCGTAACAGTGTTTCGTGAGATATCGCGAAGCCTGTTACGCGAGACGTGGTCTGGCGTACTTATAGCTAGTCTAAGGTATCGAAGTGTTAAGGTCTCAATGAATCAAAAATGGCAGTACTGAAAAACATCGTAGACGCCATAGGCCAAATTTCATCTCAAAACTCGAGTTATTTCAGATTTCACAGCATACTGATCTGCTCATGGTGTTTATGCCAATCGTGGAGATTGTACATTCACCGTACAGCATGTTCACCATGAAAAAAGAATAGCATGTGGAAATAGGTCCCATGGGATTTTCTTCACTTGAAGAAAACACCATTGAAAATGCCTTCCCATGAAAGACTTTACCATGGAAAATTTTATCCTCGTCCATGGGAAAATATCTCACATGGTGAAAGGGAGAATTCTCGTGGTAAATCGCGATTTTACATGGTATTGAGGCCATGGTTTATTGAGGCCCGATGGTTTATTTTGGACTGGCCGAACTGTTAACGGATTTCGCTATGGACTTGTACATACTCACGCTTTTCTTGAACGATAACTATTTGTAGTCAAATGTGGAATCGAGTTGAAACATTAGCTTTCTTTGAGGTCCCTCAAAATTTACCTATTTTTGCGGAATGGTAATATTCACGTTTTGGAAAAATAGTTTTTGTAGTTTTAAACTTTAACTTGTAAGCAACACACTTTTACACAATTTTAAAATAACTTTCTTGGCAAATTTACATACTGTCCCTTTTTTTACTAAGCTTTTTGTCCAAGAGTGTACGGCTAGATCAGCACTCCTTCAGATTATCATCTCTAGTTTTGTGAGTGAAGAGAGGGCACTTGTTTCTCTGTAGAATACCACGGACGGGGCGGGCCTCTAAAGGTTTCCTGGGAGCCATATCGCCACCCCGTCATCGAGGTGCTCAAGACGGCGCTAAAGCAGATAGGGCTGAGGGAGCGACTGGACATCAACGCTGACAGTCAGCTCGGGTACAGCACCGTCCAGACGACGCAAGCGCATGGAGAACGATGGAGCACATACCGTGCCTATATCGAGCCCGTGGTCAAGGCACGCAGCAACCTGCGTGTCCAGACGTTTGCCACTGCCAAAAGGGTGGTTGTTGACAAGACGAAAGATGGCCTCCGAGCGTCCGCAGTGGTGTTCACGGACTCCAAGGGAAAGGTGGGTGTTTTGTTACCCCATAAAAAGACTGGGCCTGAAATTGAGCTCAAAGATCAGGTACACACACATTTAGTAGACGGGAATTTCGACGATCACGGGGTTCGGATTCGTTCTAAGGTGTTCTACGAGGTTGGTTGAGGTCGAAATTAGCTTTTCATTGTTCAGAGTGCCATCGTTACGGCCAGTCGATTTCCACCATTTCCTCCCCCTGGAGGACATATGTAAAAAAGTTAACAACTCTTGTTAACTGCTAAAAGAACCCACGGTTAAGAAAAATTAGTCCCTTTTGATTGTTGTATCGAATGTAGTTGATGCGTTTTTTTTTGTTTTTTTTTTCGCGATAGCTTTCTGCACAATGTTTTATGATTGAAAACAATTTTAGGTGAGGCGAGGCGCTGGGCAGCGCGCGCGGGGAACCAACTACTCATAGAGCAATGTGCTCATTGTTGGTTGTTGCCCAGACGAGACGCGGCTCGAAAATGCAACAGATGGTGTTGAACCATGTCCCCCCCCCCCCCACGGTGTTGGGTAGAAACGACCCTAACGGGTTCGTTTAAAAACACATTCGAGCGCCACCCCGGTGATGCGAGACCCCGGCAAAGCTTGGCCTAGGCTGGCCCACAGTAAAATCGGTATGCCAGAACGCAGTTCATATGAATGGTGAGGTCAAGGCCGTTCCTACTCGGAAGTCTGTGTGCTGCCCGGAACCGTGTCCGAGTCATGGTGATGAATTTCGGTCAGTTCCGAAACGAATTCTGACGTTTTTTGCGTAGCAT